TTCGGGACAGTTCGCCAAGAATTTTGGGACAGCTGACCGTCCTCGGGCGGCGCGGGGCTCGGCAGACTGGTGCGCTTGCCGCCACATGGCATGTGCTCGGCTACCAGGACATGACGTGACAACATCCTTCACTTCTGATACCCATAGCGTAGTGCAGAAACTATGCACGGCGTACATAGTTTCACCGGTCAAATAAAAGCGTGCTACAGTCCTCCCCGCCAGGGAGGACTCAGGGAGGACTGGAATTTTTTTCCTGGGAAGAATTCCGACCTCGGGTGGCGCCGCCGGGTGGCGCGCCCGGAGTGCCAAGCCTCAACATGTCAATCCGACATGTTGAAGCAATTGGGCTCCGATGCCAGGCAGGAATGTGGCGCTTGGTATCGAAGCCTCCACGTTGGGCGAGCTAGTATCCTGGAAAGCAAAAGGATTTAATGTCCACCTTATGGACAGTAAAACACGTGATCCGTATGACTCGGCGGTCTGGCGCTGGCAGATTTGGGGAAACGACAATGACCTTTGCTGGCGCTCTCAAGGACTTCAACCTTCCTTGCTGCGTTTCAAGCTGGCTTTGGGACAATGCACCATGGCCTTCTGGCCGCTGGGCGCGGCCAACAGATGAGCCTTCTCTTGCAGCACTGGCTTCAGCAGTCAACTGAACTGCGATTGATTTGTTTTTCATGAATTTACTTTCTTGTGAGAGGCTTGCGTGTACAGATCTTGTATATGCTTTGTCTCTGTGCCACCCCTGTTTGTTTTTTCGTTTGCTGGTTTTCTTGTCTGTGTTCCTGTTTTGTTTGTCTGTTTGATTCTTTCGCGGCTTGCATGACGGCAATCTTGTATGTCTCACCTGATGCCTGTCTCTTTTCATCTTCTTTTCACCGCATTGCTTGGAGCAGACGCGTGCCTGACACGGAACGCTGCATCGGGGCAAAAAAAAACCACTTTTGGCTCTGTGGCCACGACAAATTTTCAGACGGGCGGGTCAAATCGTCTCGCTGCGGCCAGCGAACTCTTAGCTTTCGGCGCGTTAGGTCGGTCTTGCTGGCGTTTCAATAGTGCCGACCCTCGACCTTCCAACCCTTGGCAACGCTTTTGGCGCAGATTGGCGGGCGGACCAACACCTTGAACATTTGCGAAAACGCTGCTAGCGCCCGCAGTCAAGGTGCAAGACGGCCATGTTTACCAAGTTTCACTGGTTGCAACCTTTCCAAAACTTGAACAGAGGCACCAGTGGAGAAAGTCTGGCGGGGTTTGCTTTACAGACGCTTTGGCAACATAACTCTTTGGTGCGAGTTTAACCTTCATTGGCAAGGTTGCCGCTGTTGGACCGACTTGGCCCTGCCACCAAAAACGCGAAATTGTAAAGTTGTTTTTGGAGAGCTGTTTTGCGCGTTGTTGTACCGTTGACCAAACTTTCTAGCGCTGAAAAGAAAGAGTTGGATAGTTTTTCACGAAGCTCGCCATGTTGGCTTGGTTTACCAGAGAATTCCTGCCATCTGCCTTCGCGCACAGCGTGGGCCAAAGTCTTTTCGTGGCCATGGCCGGCGATGGCCCGGCGAGGCTCGGCGATGGCTTTTTGGGGAGGTCTCCTAAAGCAAGGTTGGATTTCCGAACCAAAAAATCCTTTTGCGCTGTTTTCCTGACCAGATGATGGTCCGGCGATGGTCCCGCGAGCGATGGCTTTTTCGAGGAATCCCGGCTTGGAAGATTCCGACAGCGTGTTTCACGGGGTGACAGTCCGGGGCGACCTTGTGCGGCTTCGCTCGGAAGCGTGAATGGCATTGTGCCGCCGCAGTCCGCCGCCGCAAGGCCCTGCGAATTCCTGCAATATTCTACCACTTGTGTTGTATACATCATACGCAGAGTTCCGTCGTTCTGGCCAGAATGTGAGTTTACCGAACACCCCTTCACCGACGACGACGACGATGATTCGGAAGCAAGGTTGGAAATCCTGGGAGAGCGAAGTTGGAATTCCGACCTCGGGTGGGAGAGCGAAGTCGGAATTCCGACCTCGGCTAGCTGTGGGGAGGCAATGGCCCGGCTGTGAGGAGGCTGTGGGAAGCTTTTGCTAGATGCCACGTCACTGCCTTGCTGAGACGATGACACATGTCACAGAAACGATGACATCTTCTCACTGCTTTGTTCGGGCGCTATTCCGGCAGCAAGGCTCCATAGCGAATCCGGTAGCGATACATCTCTTAGTAGCGCCCTGCGCCATTCCACGTTGCGTCAGCTGGCTGCCTTGTCACTGCTTCACTCAGACTATGACATATGTCACAAAAACGATGACACACTGTCACAGAAACGACGACATGTCGGAATCGGTGACATCTGACAGAGAAACGATGACATGTGTCGCGTAAGCGAAAACATCTTCCACAGAAACGATGACATGTCGCAGAAACGATGACACGACGATGACACGTGTCACAGAAACGATGACATGTCACAGAAACGATGACATGTTCTGCTGGCTGCCTTGTCACTGCTTCACTCAGACTATGGCATATGTCACAGAAACGATGACACACTGTCACAGAAACGATGACAGCGATGACACGTGGCACAGAAACGATGACGTGTCACAGCAACAATGACATGTTCTGCTGGCTGCCTTGTCACCACCTCCACAAGCAAGGCCCCATAGCGAATCTGGTAGCGATACTTCTCTTAGTAGCGCCCTGGACCGGGCTCGATTCCAGACTGCGTCGAGGAGAAGCCGGGCTGCGAGGAGGACCTCAGGCTGCGTCGGGGAAGGCTGCGAGGAGAAGCTTGGTTGTCCCCTGGGACCTTCTCTCAAGCGAGAGTTTCGCATATTGGGCGAGATTTTCAGAAGCTGCAGAAATGGGTCACTGTGTGCCTTTTTCCAGCCCGCTGAAGCGCGACACCTTCGCGACACCTTCCGACACCTTGGCGACACTTTGGCCGAAAAAGTGCTGATTATGCCTCGTTTTCGGGCCAAAACCGCATTCTATTAGGCTACTATAAGCTGCCTTTCCTTACTACTCAAGGCGTCACGCTTGAGATGAACTTTGCCGGAGGACGGCGCCGAGTCCGACAACGAGGAGGTGAGCCACCTGCTCCTTGTGGACTGTAACTTTTCTCCAGAGGTGCGTGGCCCTAGTTTTGACCCTCCTCCTGGCGGGCAACTGTTGGTTGCTAAAATTCAAACGCTTTTTGCTAACTACATCGCTGCTGCTTCTAAGCTGAAAAATTCGACTTTGGCGCGCGCAAAACATCAATTCACAAGCTTCTTCGATGTGGCTTGGACTGGCTTATGCCGATTTGCAAAACCTTTAAATACAACCTTCCCCCCGGCAAGTTTGTGCACTTGGCAATAATCACATCACTCTTCTGCATGTTGCTCCAAACAGTTTATCTCTGCTCGCGCAGCTCTTCTGCTGTTTGTTTGTTTTGTTGGGCTGACGAAGGTTGATGGAATGCTCGGAAAAACCAACACTGTGCAAATGTTTTGGCCGGATCGAAAAGGCCCTCGGACCTTTTTGTGCCAGGCAAATCAAGAATGGCGCAGATTTAACGCATACAGGTGTGTTGAAGTTCCTTATTGTTTTCCTTGCTTGTACATGTCCAACATGTCGACAAAGACAAAGGGGTCGAATGGCTGGATTGTGGTTCACTCGTGCTTCAAAGGATATGTTTAGTTGCTTGATTGATCAAAACTCAGTATGTGTTGTATCTAAATGCGCGAACATTTTAGATGATCACTGGTGGAACAACTTTTGTGTGCATTTAGTTGGAACACCTACTTGGCCAATCACAGCGCCATTTTTCCAGAATTCTCATGTTCATGCAATGTCTCATTGCAAGAATGGAGAACGAATTCGTTGCCATCTCGACGCAAAGCTGTGGTACATGGTCGGGATCATTTGTATTGTTGGCGCAAGCTTGCAAGCAACAATGCCAAAGTTGGATTTTGTTATTGAAAAACACCGTTGTTGACAGAACAGTTGCATGCGAGACTCGTCACATATTCAGGCATAGAAAAACTTGGACATGCTTGCAAACTTCTGCTGTTGGCCGGTTTTTCAGCAGTACTGTACACATGTTCCATGATGATGTATCATTTTGTCAGGGCATTTTTGTTCATATACTTGAGTCAGTTTTTAGGAGCTTAAGTGGAAGAGGACCCTTAGCAGTTTGGCTCAAGTGCAACAGAGAAACATCTTTGCCAACAGCCAGTGTTTTCTCATCAGAAGACCTGATTGTGTGTTTGTGTGTGTGTGTGGGCACGTACATTGCATTTTCAAAACAAACTGTTTCTGGATGGGACTGAAATCGCGCAGGGTCTAGCTTTCCAGCACCAGGACAAGTTTGATTAGACATCGTTTCCTCTCCATGCCATTTCGTGCGGCGAGCAATTGCATGCTTGGCTGCAGAGCAAATGATTCTTCGGAAGGCCATAAATGATATTGTTGATTGCTCTGAGCTTGCTGTTTTGTTGCATATCAGGCCAAAACTGGCACCAAAGCAGCAGGCCGGGTGAAATGTAACTGTGGCCTTTGCAAATCCAACAGCATGTTATGGATGTCTGTTGCAAGGCGATGGTGAAGCTGATCTGCCGCCGCTACCAAAACATGCCAGCTTCCTGGATTGGTCGGATACATCAAGGATGGCAATTCTTTCTCGGTTTTTCGGCTCCTTGGAAAGTTGCTTTACAAAAGGCTGTTGCTGCCTTTTTATCCGGTGTTTGGGCTTCGGTGCTGATCCAGATCACTCGAAAAGGCACGATGTCCAAAGAGACAGGCTAATGTAGTGACTATCTGGATATCGAGTGATTGCAAAGCCATTTGGGCTCGACCGTTGAGTCCGTTTGCCAACATGTCGATGGACGATGCGATCGCTCTCTTCCACAGATTTGACGTAAATGGAAATGGTACTTTGGGTTTCGACGAGCTGCGTGAGCCACGTGGATAGATTTGGGCGTCGATCCACTGGGTTGGTTTTGCTGCAATTTTGAGCAACTCATTCTTGTGGATCAGGTTGTTGTTGATCATCGGCATTCCTGCCTCTGACATCCCACGCTTGTTTGGCATTATTGACACCAACTCCGATGGCAGCTTGGACACACATCTTAGCCCCACAGGCAGCGAGCAGGCTTGCGAGTAGACTTGAGCAAGCCGAGGCAACATCGACTTTGAGGAGTTCGTCCAGTGGCTGTACGCTCAGCCAGTTGATGCAAAGGACCGCTTTTCATGGAAACTAGTTCATAAGCATGTTATAACATAGAGAAATTATTCTCCAGATACTAAACATAATGAATGTATTACTCTTGAAAATAACATGGTTCGCAACACTTGAAGACTCCAGGAGAAGATGTTGGGCAGCACTGCAGTGGCCAAGCAGCTGCTGCGAGAAATTGCTGACAAGCTAAATGCGGACGGCACGCCACCAGAGGCCCTGTTTGCGAGCCTTGGTTCCAAATTATGACAGGTCAGCGAGTTTGATGGATGTTTGCTGCACTCGCATGAAGTCGCTTCTCTTTGCATGAGTCTTTCTGTTTATTTGGAAGCTAGGAGCGCCAACGTGCGACTTGACGGTCTCCTCTCGAGTGCCCTGGGATTCAAGAGAGAAACGTCAAGTGCTTTTTGAGCTTTCCGTGCGATCCGTTTTTTAATTCTGAGGTGATGAGCTATCTCGGATATTGCTGGCATATTTGCCGGGGCTCTCCACCACCGTTCTGAGTGAAGCGTTTTATTTGTGCGACTGGGATCACAGCGGCTGGAGCCTGGGATCAATGAGTCTCAACCACGCAACTTCGGCCTTGTTTGCTCACCCAGGATCAACGTGGAAGAGTTTGTTTCTGCCTTGAGAAGAGAGGCCAAAGTGCATGCTGGATTGTGCAAGTCCTCATGAGTCATACTGTTTGTTACGGCCAGCTTTGCGACTTAGATTGTGTTGATGCCGTTTGGCCAGTCATGTACTGTGCAGGCAGGCGGAGTGTTGCAGGCAAGGAGACAGCTGTCCTTGCCACTGCGACAGACCTTGATTGCAGTTCAACTATCCATGACCCCTGTTTGCGCACGCAAGTTGCTGCAGGAAGTAGCTCCGACCATTGATGTCTTGGTCACTGTGCCTGCTGGATGGCGATATGGCTCGCAGCTGCCGGTCGCAGGTTTGAATTATCTTGCAGTTTTGTGAATGTTTCTTGCCAGATCCTTACCTCAATCGTATGTCAATTTCAACTGCCAAGGTCACCTACAATGGGCTCATGTACTATGTGGACGCACCCACCTCAATTGTAGTTGTGGGGAAGCAAAGTCTGGGTGCTACATCACGTGGCAGAAAACACTTGCCATAGA